GTAAAAGATGTTTGCATGATTACCATAGATACTCCGTCAGGTTTCCTAATTCTGACACAATTGATACCACGGTATATTAATTTGGGGCAGTGAGTATTTTGTAGCGTTCTGCTCCAACTGTGGCTATGTGGCTTTTGTTTAATATAGTAACCATTGATTTGCTGACACTAGCTAGCTGGTACTCAGCTTGTTTGGAAACGTTGTTGGTTTTAGAAAAGCTGCTTATAAGTTTTCGGGTAGACCGATGTAATGGATACCTCGGGTATCGTATATTCTCGATACAAACTTCTAGACATTTTTGCCGGGAACTTCATCATCTATGTGCCACACCATTACTCAATGGAGTGGAGGTCTCCCTGTATAAGCGGGAGTGTATCTTGCATTTCATCGGCAATTTTTTGGATATCTATGTCATGTGAAACTAGGAAATGTTTGCCATGACTGATGATTGCATTGATGTATTTGATGTAGAACCAGCGTAGTAACGGAACAATTAGGCTACATTCAATGACATCACTAGTGATTGGCGGTGGTGAAGAGTGGTGGTCGTCCATGATAACTACCTGAGAACATCTCAGGTATCATAGTAGCCATCGCTGGAGTGGGTCAAGAATTACACAGGAAGCTACCTATTTCAGCAGCCGTTGGCAGGGCACTCAATAAAATGCATTTTTATGTCCAGGCATAGAAGTCTGTTTACGTATACTAAGTCAAATGTATGAGAAAAATGGTTACGATCATGTAATGGTCAGTAATGCAAGACAGTAAGTCCAAACGATCAAGTCTATCAGCTCCAGTGAATTTACAAATTGCACCACAACATTATTAGCAATAATGATTACAATCCATCGTCCTTATCCTTATATCGTTCAAAACCTTCTCAGAAGAATAGCAAGTTAAAAGAATGCTCGTTTGGGCTCCCTCACGTATTCCGAGTGATCCTACATTCCACTCCTAGGTAATTCGTAATAGGCTGACTTGAGTCTAAAACGTAAAAATCTAATTTGTAGGAAATCGTATAGTATCCTCACAACACGAGAGGTTTGGAGCTGGATGGAAGATGTGCTTTAGTAACACCCGGATTTTAACTTCACCCCATCAACACATTTTTTCAATGTTATCGGAAACTAGGGTGTATGGATGGAGTAAAGACTCGCAGGAAATAAACAATATGACAATAAGAAAAATGTAATGAAATGAAAAGAAATATTTAAACAATAATGCTTCCCGGAAAAGCCTCGACGATATCTTACCAGATGTATTATCGCCACAACACGTTATGACATGTTATAGACTCAACTAGCATTTTTAAAATCGAAAATACTATATCCTTTTATCAAACCAATACAAATATACACCAGCCTAAGTCATTGTAAGATGCTATGAAACATCGGCTATGGTTGGTTTAGTACACTTGGACAACAATGTTCACCGATCAGGCTCTCCAACGTGCGGTGATGGTTCTTCATTGACATACACACATGCACATGAAATAAGACGTTTCTTCCTTCCGATGGGAGGACAAGGAAAATTGTGTCACCGTTTTCGGATGAAGTGAACGGTGCCCACACTAAGACCACGATCATAGCAGCAGAAGGACTTGCAATTACACCCTCTGCTTGCACAGTTCAGTTTGCGTTAGCTAAATGGTTATGGACTCTGCCGGCATTTCTAGCAGTGTTTCTGTAGCGGATTGAAAATATGTAAAACAAACTTAGAAGGCTTGCTTGGTCACAAATGGCGTCGCCCGCTTAGTAACTGTACTCAATAAAACTACCTTCAATTTAATAAATAACTTCCGACAGCAACTCATGGAAAATAATATTTTGTTGGGGATTAAAATAAGCTTATTTTAAATTAATGCTAAAAGCATGTCATCTGCAGTACACCGGTACGCAGTACCGACGCTTCACTGGCACGCAAATAACTCCAGTCGCGCGCGGGCTAAGTAAGCGCCGATGGTTGCCTGGTGCATTAAGTTGTTTTGAACCCGCGATCACCGGGATAAATGTAGTATCGCGACCATAGTTTTACAGTTTGGATTGAATGGTGAAATCCGGTTGCCAAATACTGCAACGTGGATCTCACGAACCAGTTTGTTAATTCAGAAGTGAAATTTGCTTTATACTTCAAATAAGATATAATATGATTGTGGGAAGCCAAGGTCATTTCTTTCAAAATATGATCAAGTTTAAGGGACAAATAAGGGATGCCTATCCATTATGGATTGGAATAAAGACATTGCGCCTACAACAAAGCTCTCAACGGTGTACGTACTCTAACTGTGCCATGTAAAATTGAGCGAGAGAGTTCTCTCGCATAGTCAGACATTTGGCACATATAAAGACAAGGCGGTTAAGTCAAACTAACAATATGCCGGATTGCGACATGGAATGATCGATACTTACTTGTTAATTATCTTCTGCCAAGCGATCCAAAGCATTATTTACTTAGAACACTTTTTCATAGAGATTGATAAGTTGTCCTAACACAGACAATACATAAACAAAGCATTGCTTTTTGACGAGCACAAATCAACTGGTCATCCACAGCAATTTATACGGCGTTTTTTCGATGCAATGAAACATGATCGAGAATTGAAGGTTCGATAGAACAGGCTTTCATTGATTTGCTTTTTAGTGGTGACCACAACATGCCACTCACGATTAAAATAGTTCCAATAAAAGACGAATTCACTGCAGCAGAGCAACTAATGATATGGACCAACATACCACTGTTTAAGTGCTCAGTGAAAACGCCGGTGTTAGTACAGGAAATGTCCTTTGCTTATTCGAATTCACCAGTAGCCGTGAAACAGCTATGTTGGGCATAATGACTGAGATCTAGTTGTTCGAATCATGGACATGCTCTAAACTGGCTCCGCAAACGAGTAGAAGATGCGGGGTTGGGCCCGGTGAATTGAGAATTACAGTTGAACCTGCAATTAAAAGGCACTGAGGAGTACCGGTTAAAAGATAAATACATAAATCTCATTTACAGTCCTCATTCACAGTTAAAGTTCATACACTCAAGCTGTTTGAGACCATTGTTATCGATCAACATTGCGCATGAATCTTGGTCCAAGTACGGCTGGCGGTGGCAATAAGACTAACGTGGTTTTGCAACGCAGCAATGGGAAGGAAGATATGCATTATTTTATTTAGAGGACATTGTTTTGCATCCCTTGTTATTTGTATGTGTGCGATAGACGAACATGCGCGAAATGACAGTGTTATTCTACACTCCTTAAATTCTGATATTCTTAATGTAATTAGTAATTAATTTTGCGCTGTCAGTTTTCGCTCACACTTCAGATTTTTATATTAGGTATTTCTTAACATTCATAGATTGCACTCATGTTTTACAGCCAATATGCTTGTCTTTCATGTTCTCTAATTATTACGAACATCAGTGTTTGAATTCCAACATTTTTCTTTTTAATTTTACAGATATCGATGCATATTACACAATCGACAACACCAAATTCAACGGAACTTGCCATGAGTTCAAAAGCACAGTTAGTTTATGGTGACATTTCAAATTTCAAAAGCCACTGGTTGTACTATTCTATGACAGTTTGTTTTAATTCGACAGTGCTATACCGGTTCTTTATAATGGCACAATATACATGCGGCGTTGGATGCTCTAGATATCAGTAATATGTGCTGCTCATGTTAATCTTGTGCATTGTGTTTATCCACTTCATTACTGGAGTCGGCATTCGTACGTTTCCACTACTGTGAACGTGTGTATTTTCATCCAAACTGGTTTAAATATTTGTAGTATTGATCTAGATTATAAATTGGAAACATTGAAAACGACAGTAATGCGGAGGCTGTGATGGCGGCTGTTCTGAATACCAAATCAGTTGGCAATTTCTGAGTTACACACACTCCTTGTGTTTGTTAACAACACAGTCACTATCAATCGTCTACTGTCCATGTAAATTCATCATTTACCTAGCAAGCACTTGCTTACTGATGGACGAAACTAGTCACTCAAAATGCAACGGTATCGTTAAATCAAGCATTTATTGTTCAGGCCAATCACGATTGGTGATAAAACCTGTTCGATACGTGACCTTACGCATTCTAGACATCCGGTTTTGATGACGTTGAAGTTTGTTATTATATCGGACGGTAACCAGCATGAATATTAATTAATCAGAAATGCAAAAGCTACCGCACAAGATGCGCGTTGAAATAAATCACGAGGTATACTGGGCAAGTCTTTGACGTCAGGTTTCAACAAAGGGCGAGACGCACAGGGAAAACCTAAGTGGTAATTATATACATTCAAGAAAACCATTTTAATGATTTAGAGTCAAAAGGCTGATAAAATTAATGGTCGGTAATAACTAAAGTGCTAAATTTTTGAAGTACATTACACTGATGCGTTAGAATAAGGTTATTCAACTGGATTTTGAATTAGGCAACGTTGACTTAAGAGGAATGTGGCTTTTGTATTGCAACACATTTATGGTATATTGCACAAATATGCATATTGGCTGGTTTTAGGCTCATGGGTAAGGCGATAACTGGAGTCTGGATTTGCGATCAGCCTGTAGTGTAAATTATCCGAAGATAACGCAGTTGTGCAGTACATAATTTTACAGTAAAAAAATACGTCGAATGTCATTGCGTGGTCAATACTTAGCAGCACAAACTTAAAAAATTATGTGTCGGACCACATTTCAAATGGTGCAGAATGGTGCTACTGTCAATCATACACTAAAACCTCAGTTCCTTTACTGGTGGGGTCAACTAATAACCATTCGCTAGCCAGAGCAATCGCACAATGCTCTTCGAGATTTAAGCGAATTTTTACCTTTTAATCTATAACGGTTAGAGATCGTTCAACAGATAAACGGTAGTTTTTTATCATGAATAATGACGTAGAAGGTTTTGCGGGTTTTGTGTTTTAAGTCGCATATCTGGACCATAATTGTGTTTGAGTTAAAAGTTCATTTTCATTTCCTAACACCATATTCAGCATGATCTATGCATGTTCTTTACTTGACCCAGCTCCCGGAAATGGTTACGTTTGACTTCCTGTGCCGAAAAGCTGGTGAGGAAAGGAGTCGCCGATTTTCGAATAGAACAGTTGTAAAACTGGAACTGTACTTCCCAGTTGTCCGTCATCCCTTCACTTATGAAGAAAATAAATACCTCACGTTTGCTATGAAGATAAGAACATTACAGGGCAAATGCTTATATCCTGTTCAGTTCAGACCCGAGACGTCTTTCTATGGTGAGTCAAACTAGGCTTTCCTTATTAAACTATAAATCAGACTAATTGTACCGAGCCCTGAAATTCAGCTAATCTTTTAGGAACGGTATGAAACGCAGGAAATGCTACTGTTTAGCAATCCAACAATTTCTAATGAGTAAATCATTATCCCATTGAGCCTCCCCATTAATCTCATCAGACTCAGACAAATATGTGGTTTAAATTATATAATAAATGAGGCAATTGAAGCTGAATATTAAAAAAACGTTAAACGTACGGTGCGAGTATTTGATTCACGATGTCGTAGTTGGTAGATTCAGTGCAATGGCAGGATGATTAGCTAAACCAGATGAGCATGTATATAAAGATGTGGGTGCCGGTAAAAGCAACTAAAGTACGAATAACTTTGGTACGCATAACTCAGACTTGAAGTGGCGCATACAAGAGTACTAGCGTCAATAGGTGATGATTGCCAATTTCTCGCTGGCATTTCTCAGGAATGGAGTAGAATAAATCGCAATCTTTTTCACCGTCCCATTCACTGTTCTCGATCAGGTGCGACTTGATGGAGCTTTTAGATTACCTCACTTCATCTCTGTTAAATACTTGGTGATGTGCATGCGGATCTTTCGAGATGGGCGCTTCGAAGTATGTCACACATATCGTGCAACACCAGAGCACAAGTATTGATAGATTGAATTTGTCCGGCAAAGGCAGACAGTCTAAATTACCAAAGTCCTGCGGGGGAAGATTTCCCATTGTATACTATGCACAGTCGGCCGCGAGCTTGATAAAACCAACGCCATCCTCTAGGCGTTTGTTCACGGTATAAGCAGCAATGACGGCTTCGAATGAGAAATACACAAGAATTTCCATTTTGGTGTGACCATACCACATGATCTGCTATTTCGCTTTGTGGATGAAATCATCCTGGTAGCATTTCCTTCTGTGTCATATGTGATGAGTTATGCTTAGTTTATAACGGTGTACGATGTGTAAATACCGCTCACCAGAAATGCGATAGTGTACAATCGATTCCATTAATTATGTAAGGTAACCGGACCGCTGACTTTGGTACACTGAGCAGAGCAAACGTGTTTTCTATGTACTTCTCTGTTGCAAGATCCATCAGTATTTCGGTCAATATCTAGGTCTAGAAATGATAGCCATTTTTCGAACGCGTGCTAAGTGGCACAATTCAAATTGTGGAGCACTTCATTAATATCTATTACCAGTTTAACTACCTAAAGCTTTCCATGTACATAAGCTGCTGGCTACTTGGCATCTGTCTCTAGCGGTCAAGCATTTGATCCCAAATAGGGGACCGAGGAAATGCGCAAAATTGACGAGCTCCCAATAGGATGAAACTCGTTTGGTGCATTTTCGGACTAGGCTGTAATATGTAGCTTGTTAAGTAGTGGGATGAATAGTTAAAAAATTACATGCAAAATTCCTGCTACTCACCAGTAATATAAATTTAACAAAGTTACCATTACCAGTGCAAATGTAGATATATAGGGTAACGACTGTAATAGAAGAAAATTTGTTGTGAATATCCGCTAGATGTCACCATGTGGCTTCACGGTTATTGCCAGAGGACCACTTACTGTACAACAAGCTTTTACTGACGCCGCGTATGTTTGTGTAATTGATGTAACGAATAAGCAAAATGTTTGTTTCTGGTTAAGTGTACATCATATCGCCCTACAAGAGAAGGTGAATTATGGAGGAAATTCCAGTGGATGGGTAACAATTTCATCCCATGGGATCATTGGACCATTTTGCTTTGCTGAGACGGTAAACAAACATGGACACATGGATATGTTAGAGAACAGGTTTATTCGGGAACCCTTAGCAACAGAGCATTCATTATAATTTCAATGTTTTATGCTAGACGATGCGCACCCAAGCTGCAAATGTTGTCATTGATTGCCAGTGTAACATGTTTAATGGGCCGCTAATGCCACTTCCATTACCTGAGAGTCAACCAGCTGGGAGAAAATGGCCCATGCATAGCCCTGACATAAATCCATGTAACAATTTATGGGGCTACATACAAACGTTATGTCTTCGCAGGGAAGCTGGCAAGTGTAACTCATCTGAAGGCGCTCATCATGCTGTTGCGCTGTCTAATACCTGAAGTCGATTTCATAACGGTTGCGATAAAGCTATAGGTTCGCTTGCAAGAGGTTGTGAAACAAAGTGGTGCTTTCATTATTATAGGGTTGATCAGATATGTCTGGAATCTCCAAAGTGTGGTGATTTCGGATGATGGGTATATAGTATTAGATAAATGGACATGGCTTTCACAGTAATCAGCGCGCACAATGAGTTCCAATGGACGCGGTAGTCGGATTACTTATCCCATATTTGGTAGCGGTAGATTGGGGGACATTTGAGCATACAATGGCCTGGGAAATATTGTTGGAGCTCATTTTTAGTTTATCTTCACTGCAGGGTAATCACTGGTCCTTACCTACTGACAAATGTTGGTTGCATTCTGTTTGCCCCTCTATTCACGTTAACTGTGTTTAAACCCGAAGAGGCCGCAACAGTTTATCTCTACTGACCGTTGCATCAATGTCTCCATTGCTAACTGCAGTTCCAGAGGCTTTGTCTGGACAAGAGTCACTTGAGTTACAAGAATCGAGGTTTGGCATTCGGCTGCTGTTTCCTTGTTAATGCAAGAGGTCAGGTCTATTGGAATTTGTTTAACCAGATTTTTCGTTTCGTGGCTGATTTTCATTGTCATGAGTTGTGTTAGAGTGTCTTAGATAAGGTCGTTTTCATCCGGCCTTCTGCCAATTTTGGAGAAGATATCCGAGATGAAATTTGGATGATTGCGGCTCAGGTTAGCGTATTATGCAGCAGTCGGTTGCTTAGTAGCCGATACTGTTCCCTTGTGCATATTCTCTTATAGTGAAAGAATCGTATTGTTTACCTTCTGCTCGGCTTTCGCGGTTAACCAGTAGACTTTGGACTATGATAAGCAGGCACTTAACGTATTGGATATTTGAGCACTCAGTAGAGAACCAAAGTGCCCTCATACCACTTTTTAAACACGTTCGCACATTTCGGACGATGACAGCTCAAACAATGTGAGCAAGGTAAACCTATATTAACTAACTGATGACATTCTTCTAACCCGTAAATATCTTTTGTTTGGGGCATCTTCTGTTTCGCATTTCTGCCACTCAACTTGGTGTCGTTACCTAACCAAGTGGGTTGGTTAGCGTCCTGTACCTTTCCAGCTTTGAGAGCGGCGCGCATTAATCCGGGGAGTCTGATGGATTCACGGTCAAAAAGCCATCGGCGAAGTCACGGTTCTTTATGCTAGGCTTTGTAAGCACACTGGCTGATAGCGCCACAAGGAATGGCGAGTGACTGGAATGTGATGAATGAATCTGGACACTGTACTGAACACAGCTTAAAGGTTCTCAAGTTCTTTCAGAGCCGCTTTGAGAAACGCCGTATTAGAAAATGCTTAGGCTTTTCGGACTGCCTCGAGATTTTTCTGACAAACGGTCTCACACAGAAAGTCAACCGACTCACCGTGGTTGAATTGTCCGCTTGCGCTTAATCACAGATGTCAATGAAAATGTTAGTGATGATTCGGTCCCTAATCATAGAAGATACTTCCATGTGTGATGGATCAATCTGCAGAGGTAGTAAAACAGGTTTGAATGAGCGTACAGTGAAAACGCCACAAGAAGCTAGATAGAGGGTAGAGAAGAATAATCCAAACGAACCAGGATCGCGCATGTTGCAAGTGTGTTTCTAGGACCTTGACCGTGACATGCAGCGGAATCAGGTATTCTTACTGAGCAACACCAGGGAGCTCATAGTGTTTATCCGCGGATAAGTTAAGCGAATTGAAGAAAGCTGTGGATAGCATCACCCGCCTCTGCAGCGCGAACACATAATGCGCAAATAAGGAAAAACTGGATTTTGTCGGAAAAAGGACGAAAACACGATATGGTAATGGCGTGAACGTGGACACAGTTCCCGTACCTTACAGAGCTAACCAAAATGCATGAATAACGGAAAATCTTTTCACCGATTGAATCTCTGAAATATACAAAGAGCCATGCCAAAAATTCTGAGACATTATCTTGCTCTTGGATAAATGCACAGCATATCTACAGGAAGAAGGCCTGAAAACATTTAAATGGCCTATTTGCAGACTAAAACAACCCATAGACAAATATGTGGAGATTAATCTGAAAGTGGGATACAGTAAGGAAATGTGGACTGAATTCCTTATTACATAGAATACCAAGTGTTAACTGACTCGTCGTCGGCGGTGAATACCAGCGCCAACGTTTCTGCGCTCGATGCAATTCAGTTCATTGTAAAAAGTTGGCGAAGGGTTACCGGTGCAACAATGAAGGTTTGAGTTATGCATGCTGGCTTCAGGCGACTGGCATTCGATGCACCTCAATTGAAGCCGTCATCGCTAAGGACAAGGTCAGCGCTTGCCAATCCAACAGACCAATACAGAAGAGCTCATCACCATTGAAAAGCATGTGGAATGTACCTCAGATTTGAAAAAGTGTAATGCTGCAATCGTCAGTAAAAGGTTGGGAGCACTTAGAACAGGCAGAAAGCAGCGACTCAGAGGATACCTCCATAAGTATCAGCAATCAGCGAGCTTTGTATTCAAGAGCATTGAACTGTGTGAATGATCTGTGTAGCTATCGAATTTTGCATGGGCTGGGCGACTAGTTATTACCTAAATTGGGTATGATCTGTGCAAAACTGACTACTTTAGGAGCTCTCAGTCATATGCTACTGACGTTGGATTGAATCACAGCAAAAGTATTTATAACGCCAGATTTTATTTATCCTGGTAAGATGAATTATTCTAACCTGCCCAATCCGTTAGACCTACGCATATTTTACAGATCCTAAACTCTTGGTGAATTAACAGTTGTGACAAGAGTAGCTTGGGGTAGTTCCGTGACGTAAAAGTAGCTGCTTAAGGTCGCAGCAAACTTGTAACAAATTTCTTCGCATAAAATAATAATTTTTATGATGTACACTAAGTATAATAAGCGTAATATAATATATAAAATAGCGCAAGCAGTTCCACCAACATTAGTAACATTTTTCCAAAGAAACGACTGTTACTTCATATTTCACGACAGTTTCGTGCGGATGCTTTGAAGCTGTGCACTTTATGTTAAATTGTTAAATTGTGTTAGTTATCACAGTTAGAGTATGTATACCTGTTAATTCATTTGTAGAACCTCGCATGACAAACCACCTAGAATTTGCTGACAAGCTTGAATTTGACTTTTGGTGAGACGAAAATAAAACTAAAAATGCTTCAGAAGCCAAAATATACTACTAGGTTGGAAACGCAAATTCGTGCGATATTTTACGGAGCAAAATGTATCGTGACTTTTCATTTCTTCTTTTATTACTGCAGAAGCTATAGCAAGTAAAATAAATTGCGTAGTAAATAATCAATATCGCACCATGTAGATCCGAACATTACTATTTGAGTTGTCCAATCAAACGTTTACTTGACATAGACAACGGCATTGCCGAATTTGGTCCATAGTATATGTTGTATTTGTTCAAATATTTCGTATCCCAGTTTGTGATTTTGTTGATTTGATCTTGCGCACTAACAGAATAGTAGAAATCAGAGGCACACATTTTATACTCTCAAATTGTACTTGAGCAGATTCGGTTACTTTGCTGACAGGCTTTGCGCGAATTATTCACTAAGTGCGATTTAAGGTCACTAAAGCACGGGTACGTGTATCGATCTAAGATTCTATCTACTCTCGATAAAATGTATGTTATCGTAACACATTCAATTTTTGTTGCAGAAGCAAGTAACTATGATTGGCCGGAAAGTGGATACTGTGAGTCAGCAGCGATTAGTTCCTTAACTTAAACTTTCCGACAGCTTTTCAATTTGCATCGGAATACCAGTCTTCTGGGATAACTGTGCATTGTTTGGGTCGATCGCTGAGCTAGAAAGCTTGATTGGAAATAATTTCGTTGCTAGATGGCTTAGCGTTATGATTGCAGAAACTTTAGAGGTTTCGCTTTATATATTATCAGAAATAAATAGTCTGTATGCTTGTCACCGTCGGATTTTGTGTTCTCCATGTAGCCAACCATTAATCATAATTTATCTTTCGGCCGGCTGGTCATATATGGAATTCGCCAACCAAAATTTGGTACGAATCATTGTCCAGTAATTGGTAATCAATTTCTTCCGTACTAACATTAATAGATTTATGCCACCCAAACAATGTTGGAAACCTTGGTTAATGCCGGCTGTTTTGCAAGTTAATCATCTTGTGTAAAGAAATTTTCTCCTTACCAGAAATCTATAATAATCACAGAGCATTAGAAGGTGAAATACAACCCCCGATTTGGTCTTGTGTCAATTTTACAAAGAGTGCCAAACCGACCAACAATGGATGTGTCACCTCGATTGATCACGAATAGATTAACACAAGATTACCCAACTCGACAATAATTCAACCGTTGTCACAAGAAGTTTCACGAAGATGCCACGAACTCATAAATAAGACAGCACCATCCAAAGATGCATTTGAAATTTACCGGTTAAATTGGAACTTGTACTCCGTCATTACCACAAAAAAGACAGCATTTGATTTGAGGTACTACGTTGTTGGTGCTCCTAGCACTGACAACTCATAACCCGTTTCATCCTCTTTTGGACTCGTCAGATGGAGACAACCCGAGCTGAGATGGAACTCGGGTCTGAAGTTGAAGGCTGAATAATTGATCACTATGGGTCTAGGATCTGCGATCAACGCTTAACACAGCGGTGCGGAATAGAGAGTTGGATTTTCACTGCACGATGTGCAGTTGAATAGCAACAGGCAATTTTCATTCAGACGTCGCCTTAAGTTGACAAAGACCTTGATCATAGCGGTCACATGTTTCGCATCCAACTTGAAAGTGGCATTGTGCTTGCATTCAAGGATGACATTAATGATATCTATTCGACGAAAAATTGGTGGAGAAAGCGCATGCATGTTCCCTTAATAGAGTGATTAAATTTTCACACAAGTAGGCAACTTCGAAAAATATGCAACCAGGATAAATATGTAAACCTATACTAAAAGGAAAAGATTAAATGTGTCTGAATAAAACTTTTGAATGCAATGTTTTTACAGATGACGTAGGCAATCAAATCGATTGTACTTATTAAGATATACTTCAGATGTTGCAGAGAACAGGCTGTATTAGATAATTGAGCAATTGAGTTACAAAACGATAAAAGCAAATGTTTAGAACATACAATAAGATGGTTGGCATGAAAACTGCAAATTAAAGAAGGACTTTCGCAAAAGCGCGCGAGATACATTAGACAATAAGGGGAATACTTAGCACATAAAGGAATAATTCTGCATGCCATTTAAGTAGAATTTACCACCGTCCACTCTTCGTTCTGCACTATTGCAACCATATAATATACAATGGCCATATCATGTAATGCAAGCTTGTCAAGAAATCGTAAGGTGCTTTCAAAATAAGAATGATATTAGAACGTTGAATACATGCACGGCGATAGAGTTCGTGATCATTGACACTTGGCACAAGAAAATGTTTCCTCAAAAGTCCAGTCGACTTTTTTGTGTGGTCAAATGAAAATAATGCACCCTGCGAGATGGCATTTAGCTGAGTGTCAAAAGATATTGGCGTGTGGAAAGGCTAAGGCGTCAAATTTCCGGAAGGCGCCACGGAGGACGTCAATGTGTCGGTTTGTTATATGTGATGCCTTTACTGTTTCAAACAATCCGATTTATCCTGCTCGACCACGGTGAGATCCCACTGTAATAGCCAGAATATCAGAGAAACTGGTTAGGAATGATGTTACGCAATTAATCAATTTGCTGGAGCTGATAGACAGGCCGCAGCATGCTTGTTTGGACAAACCATCTTGCATTACCTGACAATTACATAATCATAACAATGCTTCGGATTACATTGACTTCGGACATTCAATCATGTTGCTATACCTGGACATGAAAAGATGCTTGTTCGGGCGCCCTACAAACGGTTGCAAAAAATAGATGGGTTCCAGTGGAATTCTGGACCCACTGCTAGACTGACTATTATGATACCTGAGATGCCATTCTCAGGTAGTTACCATAACCGACCACAACTCTTCACCACGACCAATCACTAGTGGTGATATTTAAGGGAGTATAATTGGTCCGTTACTGCTCTTGCTCTACATCCATGGCATCAGTGCAATTATCGGTCATGGCAAATATTTCCTATTTTCAGATGACGTAATGATGTCCTAAAAATTCCGATGAGATGAAATCGAAGATACACAATTGCTCAAACAGGGGACCTCCCTTACATTGACAAATTGTATGAAACATAGATAATGAATTTCTCTCCGAATAAATCTCGCATTATGTATCGCGGATGTACGATACTCCGGGGATAAGACACACTTAAAGGCGAACTTCTTTATGTACATCTGTCTACCCGCAATCATCTAACCAAGTATTCAGAAATCTACAAGTTTTCCAAACAAGTGGAATACCAGCTAGCTAAGGCCAGCAAATCACTGGCTAATATATTTCCTAAGAGCCACCTGCCAAAATTTGGGGCAGAACCCTTCAGAATACTCACTCGCCCCATTTTGAAAAACCGCAGCATCAATTGTGGTAGAATGAGGAAACCTGACGGAGTATCTATGGAAACCATCAAAACGTCCGTTACGCAAAACATCCACTAAGAATAACCGGGAGAGCTGCCAACAATTCCAGCTCGATCCACTTTGGATAAGAAGATTTAGATATAACCTGACGCTTCTGTATAACATGATTCATCAAAATTTTACTGATATATGCCCTCCCCAGGAATACAATATAGTTCAATAAGAGAGCTACTCAAAAAGTCGTTAACCCTGAGTGTACACAGTTGCAGGGTAAATCTGCTGTCAACCTATCTCCTTATCAGATATGCTGTCCTGTCATAGTCAAAGTGGTATGAGTGTGCAACAACCTTTCACGTCAAGCTCACCAAGTACCTACTTTTGAATACGATTAGAACTCTGTTCTTTTTGGAGAGATTCTTTGATGATTTGTACCAAGAAGGGACAGAAAACATCCAAAGAGTGAAAAAAATTTATTTCAGACTGCGTGACACACCCCTTGCACATTCACTTCCTTACCATAAGTAATTTAAAATTACACCGTTTAGAAACTCATGCCGCAATCGGAGAGTTATACAAAGCAGATCTGCATGAGCTCAATACCAGTGTTCCAATTTATAATCACCTCATTAAGCCCGCTCGTTTCAGTAAAGGTAATAATCTAGCTTTGCGGGATCTTGAGCTTGATAAGTTTTGTTTGTAGAATTTCCGTTGGATGACAGTGCTCATGCAGTCATCAGATAATTGTTTCTAATTTTCAATATCATGGAACCATTGTCCACCATTTGAGCTGAAAACCCTAATTTCTCAAGCAACGAAAATTAGAGGTCAAGCTCCAGGGTTCTATATCTGTCCCTATAATAGTCGAGTCTGGTGTGCTCACGGGCTCAGTTCTAGGCCCCCGATTGTTTATGGTATGCATCAATCAACTTGCACGGAAAATCAAATCAAATATCCTGATATTCGCTGCCGATATCAATATATGGAGCCAGTTTCAGGCCGATACTAATCTGAATTCACTTCAACATGGTACGTGAATGGTCAACCCAAAATCTGCTACAATTCAACGTGGACATAAGTAAGTACTATCCATACGACCCCAGAGTATCTATGTGTACATGCTTGGAACGCAAGTACTGCAGCACTCCTCTGCCGAATGTGACTTTGACCTGCTGGTTAAGGATAACTTGGGTTGTGCCAAGCATCTGCGAAAGCATCGAAAAGTTGTAACCAACACGTGGACTCGTTTGCACGTGCGTTCAGACAACTAAACACCACTAATTTCAGACAGATGCTGAAGGCGTATGTTGGCCCACAACTCGAATACACAACACAAGCCTGTCAGCTATGGCTGAAGCATGATCTTACTGCACCGGACCAACCTCAAATTCGGGCTTCTAAATACGTCAGTGGAAGGTGAAATCTTCCATATGAGTGGAGGCGGAAACGCTTGTGATTGTCTGGCTTGACTTATCTCAGAATATGAGGCGAGTTTATAATGGCACGCTTAGTTTTCCACCCTCGAAATCATGTTTGCCGCTCATTACTGCAACTCAGCACTAACACCAAAATTAGAGCGCCGCTTGAAATTAGAGGTAGAATACAGCCGTCTGAAGTGCAATAGAAATCGTTCTTGTATATGCATGTGCCAACCAAGGAACGAGCTCCCTGAATCGGTTGTTTCTGTACCCAAGCTAGCCTTATGTATGTATGGGTTTAATGACGTACTGCGACACTTGCTATTTATTCTTGACACAATTTTCCATCCTGCACCCCGAAAATGTTTCGGATATATTGTTTTTGCCTAATGAAGCTTTCGCAACACTTGGAGTGCATGGCTACTGCATAGTATTTAATATATATATATATATATTTAACTTAAAAGTAAATCTATTAACCGTGTGTTTTCGTTAACGTTATTTGGAAACCCACCAGACTACCCAAGGGGGTTAATATAGCGGTGATTATTGACCTGTATAAAACCATTATTCATTGTTCGCATCACCAAACATTTCAGCACAAACATTGGAGGCAGAAATAAACCTACACTCAAATGGCCGTAAGAAAGTAGTTACTCAGCGTCGTTAATTCAAAGGAATGCAGTGATTCATGGTCGCTGAGCAGTTATTAGGACTGTTCCTTATATGGATAGGTTTTACTCATATGTTTTGAGGGAAATATTTTGCTTTGAACTTGTACCATAAAAATCAATTTTATCCGGTTTCGCAAGCACACATTTA